GTGGATCGCTGATGATGTGCTGCGACAGAGGTGAGTGTGGATCGCCCGTGATGTGGTGCGACAGGGGTGAGTGAGGATCGTCTGCGATATGCTGCGACAAAGGTGAGTGTGGATCATCTGCGATGTGGTGCGACAGAGGAGAGTGGAAGTGTCGGTGATGTACTGCGACAGGGGTGAGTGTGGATCGCCTGTGATGTGCTGCGACAGAGGTGAGCGTGGATTGCCTGTGACGTGCTGCGACAGAGGTGAACGTGAAGCGCCCGTCATGTGCTGCGACAGAGGTGAACATGAAGCGTCCGTGATGTGCTGCGACACAGGTGAGTGTGAAGCGTCAGGGATGCGCTGCGACGGAAGTGACTACGGAGCTCCGGTGCCACGACAAAGATGAATGTGAAACGCCGTTGCCGTGTTACGACAGAGGTGAGTGTGGAGCATCGTTGCCGTGCTGCGACAGATGATTGTGGAGTTTCGGTGCGGTGCTTCGGCCCGGCGCGGACTGCGGCGGCGCCCTGCCGCCTGGACGGCTTGCCACCGCGCGGCCGCCGGGCACAGGCGGTCTCACGGAGATCTGTGCATCGCAGCGCCGGCTGACGCAACTGTGCCGCCGCTGTGTGCCGTTCATCGAGCGCAGGGCACTTGACGTGTACCAGCCGTGCTCCGGTCGGGTGACGTCGGTGCCGCACCGGCGGCGGCACCCCGATCATCAGATCCCTTTGTTTGGCCGGGCGGACAGAGCAGATGCCTGATCAGCGGCGGGCGTTTACACGTCGGTGGCGGTGGCTATTGATTGATGGCGCGAGCTGGGAGCGACCGATGGCGTCGGACGCGTTGAAAGGTCTGCCGGCACACCGGTCACTTCCGGGTCACTTCAGATGGGTGCGCTCCGCGGGTGCAGCGCCCGGCGTCCGGCGCCCGGCGGCGGGCGGCGGGTGGCGGGCGCAGCCTCTGACCTGGGTTACAGGCCATCCGCCCGACCGTTGTCGCCGTTTCGGGAGGTGCTGAGCGCCGCGCAGCGCTTTGGCAGCGTGCCCAAATGGCTCAGGCCGGCGACCGGCGCCCCGTCAGGCGCTGCATCACGCTGGTGTTTGCAGGCGACGAGCACTGCAGTGCCACTTGCAGCGCCACCGAATGCACGGCGGCTGCCTTTGATATGGGCGTGTGTCGACGAGGCGCCGGCCGCTGAGCGGTGCTCTGTTTCGCCGCGCTCTCTCTCCCCGGCCCGGCGGCGCCGTAATTAGGGCCTCTGCTCCCCTGCGCGCCGGGCCACGGCCGTCCCGGCGCGCCGCCCACGTGTTGCGGGGGTTGGGCCGGCTGTTATCTGTCCGGGCGCTGGCAGCGCGAGCGGCGCGCGGCGAGCCAGGCGCCGCATCATCAGCGGCGGCGACAGCGCCGAGGAGGGCGTCCCCTGCAGAGCCAAGGCACCAGCGTGGCGGCAGCCAGTCGTTCCGCGGCCCCCAGGAGACGCGCCGCCTGTCGCTGGCGCTGGGCAGGAGCCCGCCTCGGGCAGGAGGAGCCCATCTCGGGCAGGAGGAACCCCCCCCCCCCTTCGGCAGGAGTTCACCCGGCTTGTTTGTCACGTGCGTCGTCGTCGGTGCCGGATGGCCGCGCCCGCGTGACGCGCCCGCCTACAAATGACCTATTCACGACGCGTGGCTCCCGGCGACGCGCCGGCCCGCGTCGCCCTGTCCATGTATCCCCTAGCGTACATTCAAGCACCGCTGATCGCTATCGCCCCATTAATTAAACGACGGATTCTATTAGCATTCCAACGCGCCGGCGGTGCGCCAATTACACAGTCATCCCGGGCCTCCGATGTTGTCTTGGGTTCTGGCAGCGGCGGCGCGGCGGCCCATTGCAGTGGGACTCGCGTGCTCGGCCCGAGCGGCCCACTTCCGCTCGCCTCCGCGGCTCACTGCAGACGCCTCGCAAAGCGGCCTCTATCGGCGCGCCATCTGGCGTGCCGCGCTGCACGATCGCCCCAGCCCGATATGGTGGCGGCCGCGGGCGCCGCCTGCCCGCGCTGTATTAGCGCTAAGTCGGGTGAGTCATTAGCGAGGAGCGCCCGTGATACCGCGCTCTCATTAAACTAACACAAAAACCATTAGGAGTTGGACGCGAGCCAGTCGTTACCATTCACTTTATGAGACGCTTAATGATGGCGTCGAGCGGGCGCGAGCGCGGCGAGAAGCGGGCCGTGCCAGCTCGCTGGCCGCGCCCCAATCAAACGCGGACGCGGCCGCTGGTGACGAATCGGTTTTTAACAGGAATCCGACGGCGCGGGTCGTTAGAGCGCGCCTGGGCCGGCGGCGCGGCTGTGGTGACGGCGTGCTGCCGGTCGGAGCGCTCGGCCGACGGCGCAGTGTTCCGGGGTGGCGTCGGCCGGTCGCGGTCCTGCTTTCTTCGTCGCTCTTTGTCGGCGCTACGGCGCGGCGGTGGCCGGCGCCAGGAAGCGAGAAGTTGGCCAATACCCAACGCGGCGTTTCGACATCGGACACGGCCGCTGCACAGCTGAATGAGCCCGCCAGGCGCCGGCCGGCCGACTCGAGGGATGCTCGGCGGCACTGCTCGCGGCGCTGCCGCCAGCACGGCCTGCTGGTGGGCCGTTCCCTCGAGAGCCGGCTGCTCGGCTCCGGACTCCGAGGCTCCGACCAGCGTGCCCGCTCGCTACGGCTTCCGACCGCGGTAATTGCCCCTGCTCACCGGCATGGCTATGCTATTGTAGTTCACCACGATTGCGTCTTGCAGCGTCAACGTTCTTGCTGTGGCAATGAGTTTCCTCGTTTGGGCCCTCGTCAGCCTCGCAGCGTTCATCGCCTTGTTTTCCTCCGCGGCCAATTTCCATTAAATGGCCGACTCTGGAGCGTGCGGCTCGGTTGGCTAAGTTCGCGGGAAGGAAACTCCAGGAAATCACGCTCTACCTGCATTCCTGCCGAGCACGTTCGTGCCATGTCATTGCCTGGTACGCCTCTCTGACTCACAGCGCTTTCAAATCAGGTCTAGCGCTTCGCTGCGAGCGACTTCGGGTGAAGCGGTCGTAATCGGTCCGTCAGCGTCCGCACGTTTGCAGCCTCGCGCTTCCTGCCCGGCCCGGTCGCCTCTCGCCGGGCCCGGGCCGCGCTCCGGCGGCGGCGCCCACCGCCGGCCGCCACCGCGCCTCAGCCGTGCCGCCGACCGTGCGTTGTGAGGCAGGTCACGCCCAGCCTGCCCGGCCGGCGGCAGCACCGGAGGCTGTCGGTGCATGCCAGACTGGGGCGGACGGGCCGTGCCGGCAGTTGGGGCGGGAGTACCGGGGGAGACAGCAGCTGGGACACCATCGCAGTCGAGGCGCCCGAGCCGGCCCCCCCGGCTGGCAGAGAGCCTCGTCACGGGTGGCGGTGGCAACATTGTTGTTGGTGTAGTCCGCCGTCGCGCGGTCCGCACCGACCGAGACCGGCAGTATTGCCGGCAGACGGCAGTCGCGAAGGCGCCCCCTCCCCCCCCCCCCTTCCAGCACGGCTACGCAGCGGTGGAAGTCGCCCGCCAGGCGCCGATAACGTGCTGCTAGCCTGCAGCGTCTGGCTCCAGGCGCCGTCAAGTTGGCGGTGACAAGTTGTGTCACCGCCATAAATATGCAGGCGAGCGATGCGTTCGTTCGGCCCAGCCATGCGGATAGCGACCCATATCGGCGCGCTGTCTGGGCCCAGATGCCCTTCTCGGGGAAATGACGTCGGAGAAATCAGTTTTTGTCTGCTGATCGTCTTCAGATGCGTCGTTTGGCTCTGGAAGGAGGTCGTTGACGGCTCCCGGAGCTCAGCACATGACGTATGGGGCGTCCATGGACGGGTGACGGCCGTCCGGAGCGGCCGCTAGGCTCGGACCGCCCCGGATCGGCCAGGGCCGGAAGCCCGCTCCTGCCGGCACATCTGGATCCTGGCAGCGCCTGTTCATTGCAAGATTGCACTCTGCACCGCGTGAGTCACCGTGTTTGGTGTGCAGGCCGGGCATTAGCCGGCCGCCGCTCATTTGCCGCAGCTGGAGTGAGAACACGGCCGGCGCCGCCGTCCGCAGCCCGCGCCACCCCGCTCAAAAACGCGGCAGTGTAATGACCGAAGAAAGCGGCCTGGTCGGATGCCGACCGGGCAGTCCCATGGGAAACTCTGCACAGCGCGGCGCCGCGCGTCCACACTGTAAGCCGCTTACGGCCGGCTGGTGAGCTGACCCGACCGGGTGGCCACGGAACGGACGGCGTGTCTGTGACGGCGACGCTGACCCGGGCGGCGCCGGCGGCCCGGTCTCGGTCAGCCGGGGTCCCATGACACGCTGAGGGCCCGCTGAGCTGGGCCAGACGGCGTCTGGTGATCGCTAGACCGGCTGAGCTGGGCCAGATGGCGTCCGGTGACCGCTGGGACCGACTGAGCTGGGTCAGACGGCATCCGGTGATCGCTGGGACCGGCTGAGCTGGGCCAGACGGCGTCCGGTGGTCGCTGGGACCGGCTGAGCTGGGTCAGACGGCGTCTGGTCATCGCCGGGACTGGCTGAGCTGGGTCAGACGGCGTCTGGTGGTCGCTGGGACCGGCTGAGCTGGGTCAGACGGCGTCTGGTCATCGCCGGGACCGACTGAGCTGGGTCAGACGGCGTCTGGTCATCGCTGGGACCGACTGAGCTGGGCGAGACGGCGTCCGGTGGTCGCTGGGACCGGCTGAGCTGGGTAAGACGGCGTCTGGTCATCGCTGGGACAGGCTGAGCTGGGCCAGACGGCGTCTGGTGATCACTGGACCGGCTGCCGTTCACCGGCGCCACAGACGCGTCTCTTTGTGACGTCAGCCTGGATGGACTGTTTGCCGTTTGCGGTCGTTTGATGACTCATGTCCTAAGCACTCCACCTTTAGCGGCTCAAGTCCTTGGTGATCGCACGCGACGCTGTGCTGATGGAGCATGACGGGCGGCGGTGTTTTGTGTTCATGCCGCGCCGCCGCTATGGCTGGCCTATTCAGATGTGCGCCGTGTGCCGCTACCGAACCATGTTGGTGCTTGAGAAGACCGCCAACATGAGGGCGTTGGGAGGGCACTGCGATGGGCGTCACCTAGGTGAGTTTGGGTGACTTTGGACTGTTGCATCAGCTTGAAACGGCCACGTCTCGGGCCATGACGCGTCGGATCAGACGGCGGTGAACCCGTGTAAGTGTTCAGGTGGCACGACCTCGCCATTTATAGAGCGGATTGGCTCGTCCGTTCTCGGCGCGATCTCCGCCGCCGCCAGCTGCCAGCATCTCGTGCGATAGTAAGATGATCGGACTTGCAGGACCCAACTGCGAGCGAACGTACCAAGCATGTACGTATTTAACGCGTCCCAAGTTGCATTCCTGCGAGTGGCCGTGTGATCACGGACACTTTCGCGTAATCCACCACGCTTTGGCGACCTTTGGCCGTGCGCTGGCCGCGTCAGCCGGGCCGTTGGCCGTGCGTGTGGGTCGTCAGACCATGCGCGTCCGTGACGTCACGCATATGTCCCGTCTGACCGGCTGCGCCCTCCGGCAGGATGACCACCACGTCCGAGTCGTCGTCGGAGGGGGGTGGTGTGGGCGCACCGCTGCCGCCGCCGCACCTGCCCATCCCGCCAGGTGCCGACGCGACCGTTGTGGCCGGCTCACCTGGCGTCTGGGCCGTCCTCCTACACGCCGTTCTTCATCAGCAACATCCTGGGCCTGCACCGGCCCGACGCGTTCGGCTTCTTCCGCGCGCCGCCGGCCGTCGGCGCCGGCGGCGACTCGGACGAGCCGCTCAACCTGACGGTGCGCAGCCCGGACGCCGGCTCGCCGCGCGACGCCGCCGACGGCGACGGCGACGACCCGGCCCGGCCGCCGGCGAAGGCCGCACGCAAAGGTGAGTCGGGGCGGGGACTGCTGCCACCGGCAGCCGCGGCGCCGAAGCGCGCGCCACCGCTCGGCGTGCCTTGGTGTGCGAGCGCCGATTGCACGCCAGCAGGGTCGGAGCTCTCAGGCCGAGCTGGTGGGACGAGTGTGTCAGCGGTGGCAGCGTCATGGTGGGCTAGTATATCGAAGAAGCTATCGTGACTCAGACCTGTCCGGGCTCAGGATCAGACCCGGGGTACTTGGATTCCGGTGGCGGTAATGGCGGCGGGCGTGCGGGCCCATAAGTCGTGAGCTGGCCGGATGGGTGGTGGGTGGGGGGTGGGGGGGGGGGGATGCTGCAGACGTTCGTGGTCATCCTTCGCCCTCTTCCCAACGATGTCATCGGACTAATGTCGGCTCAGCGCTGTCGCATGATCCGCATGAAGGGCTAAGCGGCAGCTTCGCGAAACATTGTAACCTGTCACGCTGGTTGTGCGATGAACCGTTGACAAAGAGGCCGCTGGCGTGTCCACTGAGCCGGCGGTTGACCTGTCGGTCACGCGGCCGCCGATCGGGGGGGGGGGGGGGGAAGGGAGGGCTCATGGACAGCCGATCGCGGCCGTTTGGCCGGCCGCGGAGAGAGAGAGAGCTGCGATCCGTTGATTAGGGGCTGCATCTGTGTCGTCGCCAGCTCAGCTCCGGCTGAGTACCGCTTTCCATCACGAGCTGTCCTGGAGAAAGGCACGGGATGGAGAGAAACCGGGCGCGATCCACCAACTGGAGTTGGCGGCTGAAATTGACCGATCATCGCGCATCAAAGTCCATATTTCAATGAGGCTGCTGCGCCTCGATGAGCTTATTTTTCAGCCACTGAGGAGCATGTGACCTCCAAGGCGCAATGGGCTTTAGACCGGACGGTGTTGTGGTTTGTAAGTAATTAGGCGTCTGCACCATTGAGTGACTGCTTCGTTTGATACGTTCCAGAAACAAACATAAACTCGGACGGTGCGCCGTTGCTCGGTATTGTACAAACAGCACCAACGACCAGATTCATTTCACGCTAAAAGTGTCGATTGCAAAAGCATGAACTCATCCTGCAGTGCAGATTAGGGTGCAGCAGTTATCGTGCACATACCGGCCTGCAAAAAAGGAAGGCGCTTCCCGGTGTGAAGTTCGTTGGGCCGAATTACGGCTAGTTATCAGCTGAGCCGGGTCCGCAGCCGGCCAGCGGTTGATGCTGCGATGACGTGGCCAGCCGGGCGGCACTGCGGCCCCTTCCGCGGGCGGCGGCAGCGGCAGCGGCAGCGGCGGCGGCGGCGGCACCGGCGGCCGCCGGGACCCGGCGACCGGCACGGCCGCTGCTCCGGACGACCCATGGCGACCTGATCGATCACATCAGCGGGCGTCGGGCGGACGTGACGCTGTGGTGGCGCGCTGGCGACGGGGCCGGCCGGGCTGGGCCGCCGGCCCGATAAACAGTGCTGGCCGCAGACCGGCGCGTCTGCTGCGGCCGGATGCTGCTCGTCCGCGGCGGAGCAGCGTCTGGCCCGCGCGGCCGGAAGCACCGCCGCCCCAGCTGGGCCCGCCGCCGCTGGCCGGTCCGCCGGTCCTCCGCCGCTCGGCCGCCCGCCGCGCGGCCCGCTCCCGCCGCCGGTGGTGATGGACGCTCGGCGTGTGCAGCCGGCCAGCGGCGCCGGTTTGCACCTCGAGCCATTAGCGGCCGTTCAGGAGCGCGCGCCGTGCGATAGCGGCCGGCGGCGCTGGCCGCTATCGGCCGGCTCCAATCGGTGGCGGCGGCGGCCATCTCGGCGCGTCCCTCGCCGCCCGCTAATGACCACCATAATGGGATGACTGATAGCGGCGATCGATGCCGCTCGACGGCGTGACGGAAAATCGCCGTGCTGACGATTGAATGCGCCGACTGCCGACGCGCCCGCTGGGCCGCGCTGTCGCCGCCCCCGGCTGCCGTCGGCCGGCGGCCCGACCGCCGGCGGCGCTCGTCTGTCCAGCTCGGGGGCGCGACGGGAGCGGACGCCAGCCTGGGGGCGTGCGGTGCCGTCGTGGTCCAGGGCGGGAGACCGGCCGCCGTGCCGGGTCTCAGCGCCCTGGGGCGGCGCCGGGTCGGGACCCGAAGCGAGCGATGCTCCCGGGCTCGGGTCCGTGACGAACCCGGTCGTACTGCCGCCGGCCCGCCCCGAGCGTCGGCCGATGCGCACCACTCTCGCCGCCGCCAGCTGCGGGTCGCCCGGCGTGACAGCGTGACATGACGGCGTGACAGCGTGACATGACGGCGTGACAGCAGGACGCGCCGGCGTGACAGCGGGCCGGGCCGTCGGCGGCCGTCAGCCGGAGGCCGGAGGCCGGCGGGCGGCGCCGATACCTGCGCCGGCACGCCTAATGACAACAAAAACGTAATGGATGGCCTCTCCAGACGCGGGTGACGTGACGAACGAGCGCGGCGAATTATCGCGTAAAAACGCCCGTCCCGGGCGCCCTTAATGGCGGCTATCAAAGATAGCGGGCGCCGCGGCCGGCGCGGCCTGCGCCGGACGGCCGAGCGGCGCGCGGATGCCGCGGCTCCGACGGCTGCGATCGATGATTGGTGTGGGATTTATCAGATTGGCGTCATCGGCGGCGGCCGATTCCGGCCGGTCGGCGTGGAACGGAGAGGGAGCAGGGGGGAGGGGTGAAGTGAGAGCCGCGGCGCCGGCGCGGCCAAGCTGAGGCCAGGCGAGCGTTGTTCTCGGAAACGTCGTGCGCACGCCCGCCGCTGGAGATACCGTACGAGCGAGGGGGAGATTTGGTGCTGTTTGTGCACGAGCACGGGCGATCGATTCGTCACGTTTCGTGTCCAGAGCCCGAGCCAAATTGGCCCCCACCTGACATGGTTACGGGTGCTTCCCGGCTTCACCAAGCACCATCAAACACCTGCCAGCTGCGGCAGGCTCCCGTGAACTCCCGGGAGAGTCGGCCAGACCGGAGCTAGCGCCGTCACCCGGCCAACGATCACAAAGGATTCCGAGGACATCAAATTAGCGACAGCGTGTGACGCGCCAACGCTCGATCCATTCGGCAGCACGGTCTGCCCGATCCGCGGATGGCCCGAAGGGTGAGCGGGCCGCCGAGATGGCCTGAAGGGTGACCGGGCCGCCGAGATGGCCCTGAGGCTGACCGGGCCGCCGAGATGACCCGAAGGGTGACCGGGCCGCCGAGATGGCCTGAAGGGTGACCGGGCCGCCGAGATGGCCCTGAGGCTGACCGGGCCGCCGAGATGGCCATAAGGCTGACCGGGCCGCTGAGGCGGCCCGGAGGCTGGCCGGGCCGGTGAGACGGCCGGATGGCTGACCGAGTCGCTGAAACGGCCCGGGGAAGAGCCGATCGGGCGCCCCACTCGGCCCGGCTGCCACGATGGCGTCATCGCCGCCAGAGGCTGTCAAACTGCGGCGACGCTCAGCGGCGCGGGCGGAGGTCGTGTCCCGGTTTGGGGCCCGCCGCGTGCCGGGGGTGGCCGCGCCGCGCCTGTAACCCAGAAGCTCTGTGTAAACAGCCGGGCCGGCCCACTCTTTGTCAGCGGCGGCCGCGGCCCGGCGCAGGCGGGCCATTAGGCTGAGCCGCGCGCGCGGTGTGAGTCAGCCGCGCCGAATTAGTCGCGTCAGCTGGGCCGAAAACAGCGCAGCCCGGCCATCAGATGAAGTCATCCGGCTGTTTTTCCTGGGCGGCGTGCACCTGTACAGCGGCCGGGCCGATTAATCGGGCACGCCGCCCGAAGGCGGACGGTAATTGGACGTCGGTGAGGCGGCCTGGGCGGCCACGGCGCCGGCCGATGCTTGCCCGCTGCCGGCCGGCCGGCAACCGCGACCGGCCCCTATCGGCCGGCTATCTGTCGGGCCGGGCGGGCGTCAATGGCCCCGGATAACGGGTGCCGGCCGGCCGGTGAGAACCGCCTGAATTCGGGTCAGATTCGGCGATGAGTTGGCGCGGCGATCCGATCACGCGGCTCGGGTCGTGCAGGGCTCGGCCGCCGGATGTGATGACGTCACAGGGGCCCGGTGCCGCGCGGGACTGCGGCCAGGAGCGCTCCGGTCAGTCGGCTCGGCTCGACCGTCGTCTCCCGTCGCGCCGCCGTCGAGCGCGCCCGGCCACTCAGGCCCGATGTGTAGCGAGGCAAGGCTGTGCCGACAGGAGCCGACCGCACTGATCGCTGGCTCGCGGCGGCCGCTCCGCGCCGCCCGTCCGCCGGCCTTCGCTCCTAATACGCCGCGAAGCACACCATCCCCGCCGCGCGCCGTATCGGTAGTCACCGAGTCGAAAAGAACATCGGGACAGCTGCTGGGATGGCAGTTTGTGGCCACTTTGTGTGATCGTTATGGTCAGCGTTGGTTTTCAAAGCCTTGGGTGTAACTTCCTGAGTGTGAGATTGGGCCGTCGTCATCGTTGTTCGTGTGCCTCGACCGTGTCCAAATTAGGACAGCGTAATATGCAGTGATCGGTGCAGCGATATTGTAGCCCAGAAGTTGCAATGTATATTTCAATATGGCGTTGAAATAGGCTCATGCACTTGCAATAGCCGTTTCCAGCTAAGTTGCTGACGTGAAGCTAGTTAGCTGAAAATCGGACTTTCTGTATTTCTGATTGTTTGGGACAGCTGGCATGATGGAAGGAGCTGTAACAGAACGCAAATGAACCAGGAATGACATTTTCTAAGATGGAATGAAACCGAAAATAGCAGCGAGTGTTCCTTCACAAGATTCAACGTCTCAAGATCCATCACGCGGCCATTTACTGTCCTCGCGCTCGACGACAATGAAAGGTTCTCAGTCATTAATGGGTTGAACACCAAAGGTAAGTGCAGAGCTAGGCATGTTTGCACAACAGCCTATCTAGCAAACGAATAAGATGTCGAAAACGGCCTGCAGCGTCCGTACTTCAGTCAGTCGGGTCGTCGTCAACCCGCGCTTTACTCCTTCCGAGATCGGACGGCTGATCTCGAGAGTTATATTATTGTTTTATATTATTTGGAGTTAAAGAGCTACAAAGTTTTAGAGTATAGAGAATTATAGTGTTGTAAATATAGTATATGGGAGCTATAGCATCGCCCGCAGCAGCCGCGGAGCAGGCTGTTCTGTCCATATTCGGCTGGGTGCCGATGCAACAGCCCACCCGAGAGTGCAAGCACGGCGCCAGACCGCTCCGGTGGGCACGGTCGATCGCCACATATTCCAGCGAGGGTCGACTCAGCGAGTCATTAAGAGGCACGTGGCTATCGAGACCCGTGCCGTGGAATGTTGGTGTTCTGTCAGGCCAATCAGAAACAAGATCACACAATCTTCTGACGTAAGCTCAGATACGTCTTTGAGCACGACAGAAAGCTTGCTAGCGATTTTTTTCACGCAAATGCCCAGGCATGTGTGCCTTCATAGATCGGTTCGCTTTGGCAAATAGCTGCACTGGCCGGCGCAATTACCGGCACAAGACAGCATAACTCGCTGGATTGGTATATGCTAATAACAAGTTAGCGATGTTAAACCAGAAATAATATGGTGTGGGCCCTTTGCACTGAGTGTGATGAATTATCCGAGTTCAAAGAGATTTTATCGAAGATGAACAGCATCGACCAGATAGAACTGGTTCGCCGGATATTTATGCAAAATGCTCAAGGTGTGCGGGTACGTGTTTATGAGGCATTTGCTAAAAAAGCGATATGAAAGGGTGAATCTGGCCATGTGCAACGGTGCAACTAATTTCTCATTGGCGCGCCCTCGTATCTGTGGTTATTATCACCACGTCTGGCGGCTAGTGCGGTGGCCGAGCTGCCGAACAAGCCCATGAGATCACAGGTAGCGGAGCCGCAAGCCCGTGAGATCACAGGTGGCGGAGCCGCAAGCCTGTGAGATCACAGGTGGCCGAGCTGCCGGCCAGTGAGATCACAAATGGCGGAGCTGCCGGCCGGTGAGATCACAAATGGCCGAGCTGCCGTGCAGTGAGATCACAGGTGGCCGAGCCGCCGGCCGGTGAGATCACAGGTGGCCAAGCTGCCGGCCGGTGAGATCATAGGTTAGGGAGCTTCTGGCCGGTGAGATTGCAGGGGGCCGAGCTGCCGGCCGGTGAGATTACAGGTGGCCGAGCTGCCGTCCGGTGAGATCACAGGTGGCCGAGCTGCCGGCCGGTGAGATCACAGGTGGCCAAGCTGTCGACCGGTGATATCACAGAACGCCGAGCTGCCGGCCGATGAGATCACAGGTGGCCGAGCTGCCGCCCAGTGAAATAACAGGTGGTCGAACTGCCGACCGGTGAGACCATAGGTGGTCGAGCTGCCGGCCGATGAGATCACAGGTGGCCGAGCTGCCGGCCGGTGAAATAACAGGTGGTCGAGCTGCCGACTGGTGAGATCACAGACAGCCAAGCTGCCGGCCGGCAAGATCACAGGTGGCCGAGCTGCCTGCCGGCGCGCGGGGCGCGTGTGGAAGGGCCATCGCACCGGCCCGACCGCGGCGGCTTCGGTAATGACCGGCCCTGCATGCACAGAGTGGCGCCGCCGACCGACGCTGGGGCAGCACCGCTCGGGCCCGCCGGCTTATTTGCATACATTACCCACGTGGTCCATCATCGCTGCTAGCTATCCACTCATCAGGTGGGGTCAGGCCGGCACAGGAGCCGACCCAGAGTACCACGGGCGCCGATCAGGCGTGCCTCCGCGGGCCTGCACAGGGGGGCGGGAGAGCCTCCAAGGTCTGTACAGGGGCGGGCCTCCGGGAGTCTGTACAGGGGGGGGGGGGAGCCTCCAAGGTCCGTACAGGGGCGGGCCTCCGGGGGCCTGTACAGGGAGGAGCCTCCAGGGTATGTTCAGGGACGGGCCTCCGGGGCCTGTACAGGGGGAGGGGAGCCCCCAGGGTCTGTACAGGGGCGGGCCTCCGGGGGCCTGTACAGAGAGGAGCCTCAGGGGTCTGTACAGGGGCGGGCCTCCAGAGACCTGTACAGGGGGAGCCTCCGGGGTCTGTACAGGGGCGGACCTCCGGGGGCCTGTATAGGGGGAGGGGCGAGCCTCCAGGGCCTGTACAGAGACGGGCCTCCGGGGGCCTGTACCGGGGGCCCTGTCTCCGGGGCCTGTACAGGTCAGCCCCGGTGCTAAATGACCGCTGCAGTCGACGCGCTCTTAAAAACTCCAAATACTGCTACTCCTAGGTGAGCCCCGGGCGCCGATCAGGCGGGCCTGCGGGGACCGGCAGAGGCCAGCCGCAACGGTGCAGCGTCCTGATGTCACCTCATTAAGTCAGCGGTGGCTGGTGTGACCATTTCAGTGAGCCATTTATGGCTTATGTTGTTCATGGTCCGGCTGGCGCGAGTGGAGCCTCCTGTCTTCGGGATGGCCTCCGAGGTCTGTGTCATCGTGAATGGCTCACCAGTGTCCCCTTCGTCCACAGATCGGCCGTCCAAGAAACGGAAGGAGCCGCCGTCCGGGCTGACGGCGGAGGAGGTGGACGGTAGGAGGAAGAAGGCTCGCACCACCTTCACCGGGCGCCAGATCTTCGAGCTGGAGAAGCAGTTTGAGATGAAGAAGTACCTCTCCTCCACAGAGCGGTCCGACATGGCCAAGCTGCTCAGCGTCACCGAGACCCAGGTGAGCGGCAGGATCGGGCAGGGCTCCGGCTCGGGACAACTGCGCGTTGGTCGGGCCATGGCTCTCTCTGCCAGGGCTCTGCACAGCGTCAGGACGTTAGGATTTGCCGCCTCAGCATCTGCTCGCCCTGCTCCGTTAATTGTCACTGATGCTAATGGAACCTGTTGATTGATGACGGATGAAGTTCTATGGATTCCACGGCAAGATGTCCTGTCGTGTCTCATTAGCGCGGCCTAGCTTGTTTCACTCCATCAGTCGTGAGCCTCCCGGTCGATGGGATCGGCAGCTTTATGGCGGCTTTTCCCAGTGCCGAGAATCGGATCTTCGAAGCGTCGCTGGGCGCTGATTTATTTATGGCGAGCTGTTTGCCATCCGATCGACTATGGTGAGGCGATCGCTGCATTATTCCGGTCCGGTGCAGCTAGGCGACGGTGGTTGTTACCCAGACGACCGTCTCGCTGGTGTGCGGCGGACCGCGACCCGCCTCTGTGGCCGCGACCATGGCGGCCGGCCGCGCCGCCGCCGGCGGCCGGGGCGCGGCGTGTTTCCAGTAGACGCTCATAACCCGGCCGCCGCGTCGGTAGCGTCGACGGCCGCAGGCCGCCGCATTAGCCGCCGGCCGGCCGACAAACCAATTAGGTGGGCGCGCGGAGGAGCGGGCGCCGGCAGCCACAATCAGCGCCGCAATTAGGTGACGCGCGCGCCGGCAGCGGCGCGGCGTCTCCACGGCAGCAGGGGGCCGCGCCGCGGCGCGAGCGCCCCAGATGGAAGCGGTCCTGGGGGCACCACGCAGAACGTCGCTCGACTACTGAGGATGCGGATCGGGCGTTTTGGAGTCAGCTGGCTAGAACGAGCGGGAAAACGACCGAAACTGGCCTCATTTGTGGGGAGGGAACGAGGGGGGGGGGCGCAGTGAGCAGAGGACGGGAAGCTGGGCTGTCGTCGGCGCCACCGTCCGTGGGAGGCGGGGCCTGTGGCTGAGTGTCGCCGGCGCCCATCTGTGGACGGCTCCGGCGCCGCTGACGGCTGTATCGCTGACGGGTGCATTGGTCGCCACCGCCCCGGCTGCTATTGATGGGGTGGTGCAGCTCTGCCGCCGCCCCACGCCCCGGCCGGATCGGCTCCGTGGCTGCGCGTCAGTATTCATCAGCCCGTGATTGACTCAAGCGGCTCCCCGCACCCATCTCTAATGAACTCCAGCTGCACGCCCTGCGCATCCGGTGGACTGCAATGGAGCTCTCCGTCCACGTCTAATAGACTCAATTTGACCGTTCCATTTACCTCTGGTGAACAATTCAGTGTACCCTTCGGACGCGGTCCGCTCGCCGGCGTGGCCGCGCGGTTCGTCAGTGGCCGCTTGGTGGACGGGTGCGGTGATTAGCGCCGCTCCCCGGCAGCCACACAAGCGCGCTCCGCTCGCTCGCCAGCTCGGCTCCCCTCCGCCGCCGCGCCCGCGCCCGCGCCTCATCCGGAAGCCGGTTATTGTCGCAGCTCGCCGGCCGCCGTCGACTTATTGGATGCGAGCGGCGCGTGGCGCGAGCGACCACGGCCAAACTAATTATCCGGCCGTGATTCGCCGGCGCCGACGGACCCGTGCCGCGCTCGACGGCCGACGGGGATCGATGTGGCGTCAGCGACACCTCGGCCGCGGCGGCCGCCGCTATCGACTCATTACGGCCGGCATCCGCGCGCGCGCGCGCGAGCGTGGACCATGCACAGCCTCTGAAATATTTGGGCGACCGTCGTAGCCCAGCAGTGCGGTCGACCGTTGCGTTATTTAGCCGGCCGCTGTGGCGGCCGATAGCGGCCCTGTTCAACATTGATGGGCGGGGAGGGGCGGCGACAGCAGCCTCTTGGCGGGCGGGGAGACCGGACGGCACCCGACAGCCGCGGCGACGCCCCAGCTGCGCCGCCACGCCGCCAGATAGGGGCGGGTCGCCGCCCGGCGCCGCGAGCTCGCCGCCGCCGGGACAAATGGCCTCATTCTGTCGTCGCCGACGACGATAGCAGCCGACGGCGTCTGTCCGACTAACGGGGGACGCGTCGTCGATTATCGCCGCCGGCGCCCGTCGCTCAGATAGGGCCGGAATTAATTGGAGCGGCCGCGTATTGGCAGCAGGGCCATTAGCCGGCGGCGGGCGGTGCGGCGGCCGCGGCCGGCGCCGGCCGGGCTCATGACGAGCCAGCCGCTGACAGACGACGGCCGGCCATCCGGCCTCCGCCGTTTGTTTAATTTGCGGCCGTGTTTGGCTCGCAGGGCGCCGCGCGGTCTGCAGCGGTCAGCGCGCCGGCCTGCAGACCCGCATTCTTGGACGGCCAGCTCGGCTCGGCCGGGTCCGACGCCCGAGCCGGACAAAGGCCGGGCGCGCCGCGGCAGCCGAGGAGAATGTGGAACTCGGGCTGCGGCGTCACGAGGATTGGATGCCGGAAGGGGAGGGTAGCTAATGATCTCGTGGCCAGACTGGTGCTGAGGGAGGGGAAGGGGGCGGGGCAAAACGATGTCTTGGGGGCCAGACGGTTGGGACCAGAGTATCGTCCATACATGGTCTCTGGAGCGAAGAGGTGGCATGCGAGGGCAACAACCTTTGTCTTCAGGTGCGATTCCTGGCGTTCAAAATCTAACGGTGTCCGTGTGGGCTTTAACCACCAGCCTGACATAAATTATTTGCTCGCGGTCGCTTCCGCACTTGCAGACAAAGAGTTCAGATGTGCGTTTCGAAGACACAGCTTATAGAAGCTAATATACTGGCAGGCTTTAGTCGACGTTATTTTGTCCTGGAAAGAACATTCGCTTAGCCCCTATTTGGCATACGTACCCACCAATCATGGTGACCAATTTAAAGTGAGCCATACGGGACAGTAATTTCGGAGCAAATGAGCTGTCAAGCAGCGAACGGAAATCGATACCGCATCTGCTTGCTGGACATGATTGGCGTGGTTGGTACGTGTGCTGTGTCAAAATGCCGTCGCTGTCCAGAGTTCAAGGTATATCTGAAAGCTGAGTCATGTAAAGCGATAGGAAAACTGAAGATCTTTGTATCCCGCGCGTACAATTTGGATGGTCTTCATTTATGGTTCTTCAAGTAGTAGGCTTTCCAACGAGGGGTCATACTAGACTGTGATCCTCCCCCGGATCAAGATTCACTGGTGCGCCAAAAAATGTGTCGGTGCGGTGTGAAAAAATCGTGATCAACCCAGGCTTACCTAATTTGAACTCGATGCCTTGGCTTCAAGGTCAAATAGCCCTGAAAAGCTGGAGTTATTCAGCGGTGTAATTTTGTGTCCTGGGGGGGAGGGAGGGGGGCTCTGAGCCCCCCAGGCGGACTTGAACCCCCTTCCATGCTCTTCTGAGCCTCCTCCCTAATGCGTATAAGCAAAGAAGAGAATGCTGGGCCCATGAAATGCAACAAGTGTCTAAACTGTTGGTACGCGTACCCTTGGTACCTAAACGCGACACTATTAATATCGTCATCATAATACATCATCATTATCTTCATCGCATCGGCCTCAACTTGGAAGTCATTCTTCAATAACAAAACAATTCTGAAGCCAACAATTTGTAATCTCAATTTTGACACCAGGGACGCAAATTAAAGTGGTCGAAGGCCGGGAGAAATCGGGATTTCGGGCTGGGTTAGGCCAACTTTATTGGCCCAAGCCCGATCGAAGGGACACCCCTGCGGTTGCTTCGTAGCGTAACGTATCCCACTCCCTCTCTCCGACCTATTTTCGACAACCTGGTCTTGTCCTACCCTGTATTCATGTTCGTTGGACAGTTTTGAATTTCACTTGGTCCCCTAAAATATGGATAAATAGTTCCCGAATAGTTCCCTATATCAACTACATAGGGACAATGTTGGAACTTGGGCTGGCAAGCTTGTGTTTGTGGAAAGTTTGAAAATTTGGTGGAGCAAATTTGGGGAACACTTGTCAAGAATATCTTAGAAGAGGCCGACCAACTGTATTCCTGTTGACTCAATAGACGTGCATGTTTGCGATGTTGGGTGTAACAGCAATAATTGGCGCATATCGCTCATAAGGAAACGTGTGAAAGTGGACGCCATCGGTTCTGTGTGTGGGAGTGGAGACGGGATACTGTGTGTGACTTTTCTTGGCGGTATCGACTATCCAGTTGTTTTATCGGTTTGGCGCCCGTAAGCCATTGTCTTTCCCTCCACACCCCCATCCCTACCCCCACCCCTCGAACACCATTTCGAATCCCAGATCGTCGGTTGTCTCTCAAGCGCTACAGCCTGATGACTTGCCATATGCAACGATGTAGTGTGTGTGTGTTCAACCCGTGCACGGCAACCAGGCCATATTGGGGTTACGATCGCCGTTTCTCTCACTTTGTCCGTCCGGGTTCGGCTATTCGCCCCACCGCTCCACCCCTGTGGGGGGAGGGTTGCAGGGGCGGCGCGCCTCCGTCGTCACCGAGGGCGGGTCGGCGCGGCCGATGAGTCAGCTCCCTGCGGCGCGACGGTGGCGCCGCGCTGCCGCCCCGGCCCCTGCTGGCTGCTGGCCGTCCGCCCCGGAGCTGCATGACTCGCGCGCTGACCGGCGTCCTCTGTCCGCAGGTAAAGATATGGTTCCAGAACCGACGCACCAAGTGGAAGAAGGCCGAGAACGAGGCGGCAGCCGCCGCCGCCGCCGCCTCGGCCGCAGGCGCTGCCGGTGCCGCTGTCACTCCTGCTGCCGCCGGCTCTGCCGCTGCCGCCGAGAAGGGGCCGCGCACGTCCGAGTCCGAGGCGTCTTCGGCCGGGGTGGCGGCGGCGGTGGAGGACGTGCCAGAGGCAGACGGCATCACGAGGGCGACATCGCCCGGCGACGAACCACACCCACCGCCGGCCAGCCCGGACCAGACTGGCAGAAGCCCGGCCCGCTCGCCGCCGCTGCTGCCACCGCAGGTGCCGCCGGAGGCAGCGCGCGCCGCCAAGCAGCGCAACGGCATCGCCAAGCTGGAGAGTCTGGTGTTCGAGCGCGAGAAGGAGGCGGCGCTCAACAACAACAACGTGGTCTCGGAACAGAGCCGGCAGCGGGCCGAGAGCTGATCGCGCTGCCGCCTGGCGGACGCAAGGCGAAACAGGGTGTGGCCGCGCCGCCGCCGTCGCCCAACCGCGTCCCATTCGGACGCCCCCCGCTTGGGGACGGTGCCTGTCATGCTTGGACAACGCGTGTTCTCTGACTGTCGGCGTCGAACCCTTGTCACGCTGTTTTACAGGGAATGTCCCTGAGAAGTGTTGTTTGATCGCATTAAATTCAAAAACCGTAATGGGCATTTCCGATTGAAATGTCAGGTAAATGAAAGTGAAGAAAATATCAGGTAAAATCAGACTTGGCAATGATTTCCTTAATAGAAAGCCACGATTTTCTCAAAAGACCACAATGTTTCAGAGGGAGGATGAAGCATGGTCTGGCGTCTTCACAGGACTTCAACCTCAACTTAAACGGCATGTTTGTAGTTCTTTCTAACCCCAAAACCTAAAAAAACTCGTCTCTTCCTTTCCAGTTTGTCGCCCAACCTGTCCTTCATAGTCCACGCTACCAAATCTACAACTATGAGCGTGTTTTAAGCGGGCGGCACCCTGATCCCGGGAAGGTTTGTTTGGGAGAAGTGGTGCGACCATTGCGAGCTGACTGACCCGGGCCAGGGACACATCTTCGGCTGGTGTAATGAAGTGTTGGGCCTGAGCGTTAAGCAGTTGAAAACTTTATGATGGTCAGATGCATGCCTTTTTAAAGTTACCATACATACCCTTTAAAAGTTACCACACCTGCCATATCATGCCTTTTAATCGTTGAGCATGGCGGTCATTTGAGAAAACCGTTGTTTGTCATTCCATTACCGGACGGCGCCGCACAGTTTTACGAAGGCTTACTATCGTGAATTTTGAATTTCAATGCGATCGACGTTAGATTCCAGTACTCCACAAAAAACTGGGATAAGGAGTTTGACGCCGACAAAAGTTACTCCCATCTTTGCCTTACTGTCGCTCCGTAGACCACTAGGCTCAAGCGAAGAACGGGTTTTGTGAAGACGCCTGGGATGGTGCCATCGCCGTTGGAGCGGGACGGCACCTTACCGGGCGTCACTGTGCTGTACCATTTATCTATCGAGCTGGGCGGATCGGTACTCTCGGCTGGCAGCCCCGGGGGCTGTGTTTGCCGGCCGGCCCCACCGTCTGTCGACCATGCGCGTGTCTGTGTCTGCCACGCCCGGCCTGCGGCGAGGGTCGGGCGCGACCTGAGCGTCACTCTGCGGGACGGCGCGGCGGCGGCGCTCGTCCTGGCGCTGCTCTCCCCCCTGGATGTGCAGTCCAATGGCTGTCGGAGGGGGGGGGGGGGGGGGCGCCCACCGGGCCAGGCCACTGCTGTACGTATTTTTGTAGTCTGCGCGTCGGTGTAACACGGACGCGGAAGAGGCCCGGGGCTAGTCATCGCGAGAGCTTATCGGGGAGCGTCGACCGCCGTCTCAGCAGACCGCCCTCAGAGTGTCCGACTGTGTCAAGCGTCGGAGCCGGCCTCAGAGTGTCCGACTGTGTCAAGCGTCGGAGCCGGCCTCGGCGGGCCCTGCGGCGGCGGCGGCGACGGACGGTCCCGCGTCTCGCCGGCAGTGCAGAGGCGGGTTTCAGCGCGGGGCGTGTCGGTGGTCCCCCTATTCCCTGCAGTCCCCTCCCCCCATGCGTGCGCGGTGTGGCGCCCGTCACCGCCGCCGGCAGGGTCGGGGCCACCACCCGGCGCGCAATATGCTCCCATCATGCTCCCCATCTGGCTATCCGCCGACGGCGCGGGCGGTACAAAGGTTCTGGATCTTCTGGCGACGCAGGAGCCGGTTCTCCCGGCTCAGCTAGCTGGGACACGATGTGTTTGGTGTAATGCTGTTGTCGCAGTGGTTTTGTGTTTATTATTTAATTTCTGAAAGTAATTAATTAGTTTGCATGCATCGTTTCCACCGTTAAATACCTATGTGACTGTGCGTGCGAAGGTGGGCGCTTAAATCAAAAATATACCAATAAACATTTCTTAGTTTACTGTTGTGCGGGCTGAACAACGTTGGGAAAGCGGGGTGGAACGTTACCATTCGGGATGCTTAAAATGAACCAACAGTAGCTGACCTGGCAAATGACGATGCCCTGGACGTAGCCGCACTACACACACTAAGCAGTTAGGACATGGAAGCTAGACCAATAGATTCAATATTGTCATTTGAGTATGTGCAGATATTAGAGTGGTCCCTACTTGCAGCTCTCCGCATTTCTGTGGAGCCCCCACCCAACATGTAAGACGAGCCATGAGCATTGCAAATTTGAGAGTGATCACCGCTCCAGAGCAGCTGAAGTCTGTCGTGACGGCTGTCATGCAGTGCTGAATCAGTCATTAACTCAACACGGACGCTACGCATCTAGGGTCGCGAATCGGTTGGCTCATGCCCCCTTTGTTGTAACAGAAAACAACGCGTTCCTTTCCTCACAAAAAAACTGTTCAACTGAGGCATTTCAAAGAATATTTAGAAGAGCCAGAACCGACCGTGCATTACTCCATGTATTGACTTTGTAATATCCGCCTACTGTACACCTAAAACTGACTCCTGAAAATTACGGTGTTCAAACAGGGTGTGAGTTCCACAGCACGTTACCAACTTTCTGAAATGTAAATTTGATACGGTTTGATGCAGCAAAATATCGACAGAACATGACTCGGTGTTTGATTAATGCACATGAAACAATGGTGGGTATGTGATGTCAGCACCTAGAGGCTAAATAAAGAAATTTGCGCATAATGTAGCATTATCTGCTTAGGTAATTTGTGGCACATGTACTAATATATTAGCAATAGAACATCCACAAGATATGTAACAAGCACAACTCGCTTGCACGCAGATTCTCGGAACGAAAACTTTCTCTACAAAATACAGACATTTCAGTTCGAGTAAAACAAAACAGAAGCCCTCCTCCAAGCATGATTTCAAACCAAGGTTACCAACCTTTCCGCAAATACGCCTAGGTAGATGCCGTTCTGTTGGGAATGTATTTTGCCCGCTCGTTCAAAAACACGTATTGCGAACTCGTACTTCGTAGAGACACGGTTCTAAGCTTGCGCCTCTAAAGGGAAGTGATTCTCATTCGCTTTATTTCGAGCGTTTGACATACTGTAAATTTGGAAATTGGCAACTTGGCAATTAGCGAATTAGCAAACGGCAATGTTACTAATTGAGCCGGCTCTTCAGTGGCCATGCGATTATACTTACGTACGAATATTCGATGCTCAATGAGCTCGCCCACGCGAGGACGCAGCCAGAGTCTTGGCGGTGTGTGGGGGGGGGGGGGGGGGGGGGGGGAGGCACAGGGCTCGAAGGGCCCCTCTTATAAAAGCCCCCTCTCCAAAAAAAACTGGATGGACCCACTTGATTTTGAAGGACACGATTTTCTTCATTGAATTTCAGTATTTGAATTGAACTGTAACAGAAGTCAGAAGTCACCGAAAGACACAATTCTGCTTAGATTTTGAGGTCAGTAAACTAAAGGAACCACACGTTAGATTGCATAGAATAAACAGACGGCACTATTCATTATGCACCGGTTCACTGGACGTTCCCAGGGACGTAGGTCCCTACGCCGATAGCGCTCAGGGCTGCGCCGACATTGTTCTGGGTTGTATAAAACCTTGTGAACGTACGTGATCGTGAATGTAGATTGTAGATCAAAGTGGGGCCACCAATTTGTATTGAAATAGCCAACCCGTGCTGGTCTGGGAATGTTCAACATTTGTTCACAATCGAGAAGTGGAAAAATTACATGGCAGTTTTGACCTTGTGCGCTCACAAATCTTGGAAAAAAACCCCGACGCACGACCTTGCAGTCACCATAGGCCGCGCGGCGTTGGACTGCGGCTGACACGAGACGGCGGCAGCCAGGCGGACGAATGCGGCACGTTTTTGAAAGAAGTACTTCTACACGCTTCAGGATGTCAATTCTTACGTTTAGAGGGAAATCCGGCAGCATGCGATTTTCATGTCACCTGCTTTTTTATTTACAAGAGGACCTAATGACGGAACGGCATTGACTAGCACCGCACCACGAGCCGGTGCTAAAATTTGTTAGTAAAACTATACAAGTAAAGATGCTATCTCTATTTTCGTATTTCTGTTGCTGTCTTAAAGATCATATTGGAATTATGCGTTTGAAATGTACGCACAGGCTTATAAATGAATGGATAAAAATGATTTTGAAAAAGCTTGAGGAAGCACCATTTCACGGGGATTGTATCACCCAGGCGTCCGCTGCCCGGTGTTTACACGCGCCCGGGTGGCCGGGGGTGGATACCCTTCAATCAGCTGGGGGTCAGTTTGACCCCCTGAGATCTCAATAATTAAGAGAGCTAGAAATATCAAATCTTTAAGGTGTGTTTGCCTGTACCTGAACCAACTCAGATCAAAGTTTAAAGTTCCTAGGTCATAACCCATGCTCGTCTGGTAAAGTTTAACCTTTATCCAGGACCGAGAAGTGGAAAAATTGTGTAACGTAGCTTTGATCACGCGAGCTCTCAAGCCTTAGAACAAAAACCCTGATGCCCGGCGTTGTAGTCTCCGTAGGCCGCCTGGCGTCGGTCCCCTTGCTTTTATTAGGCGGTGGCCGGTAAACGGATGAAAGCGACAACGTCCCTGAAAAAAGCACCTCTGAACGCGATAGAATGTCAATTCGTACGTGTAGCACGTAATATAGGGTGTGTTTCGCCAGTGCAAGTTATATATCCATACTAGGAACGGATTAGGATTCACAGCATCACGAGGTGGTGCCGGAATTTGGAGTTGGAGCTAGACAAGCTGAACATAAAATCCCTCTTTTTTGTTGCTAGCGTTTTTTTTTATCTCTTCAGAGGACATCTCTGAAATTTTACGGGCAAATTTTTTACCCAGTTTAATTTTTGAACGGTACGAATTCATTTTGACAGACTTTCGCAGGCGCTATTTTACGACGGCTGTTCTCGTGCGTCATGCGCCCGCCGACCGGTGTTGATCCGCCAACACCGCTGGTTTGATGAAGGCTGCAACCCCGGCCATCGATGCTCTTACTCCCAATTTTGCGAGCACGCAGGCTTAAACTTTTTAAAACATTTGTTTCACCTATTGCTCCGGAACAAGGGTGGACGCAGGGTTGAAGCTTTCTAAAATAGGATGGGGGAGGCTGGGCCAATAAAGTTGACCTAATCTGCCCTCAAACCCCGATCACTCTCGGGATTTCGGCTTCTTTGGTTTGCATTCTTGATGTCAAAATTTGATTTAAAAACAGATATCTGGTCGCTTTCAAAATTGTTTTAATGTTGAAGAGCTACTTCCCTTTTGAGGCCAATGTGACAGTGACATTCATGCTATATGCAGATTATGACATACATCGTGATGCGTTGGGGGCCTGCGCTGTACCCACAGTTCAGACACTAGCTAAATTGCATTGGCCCAGTGTTTCCTTTCTCGCCCATATGCTGCCACGGTTCTTATATGTGTATGCATATAAATATATATATATATATATATATATATATATATATACATACATATATATACATATATATATATATATATATATATATATATATATATATATATATATATATATATATATATATATATATACATATAGATAGATCAGTGAAGATGTTAACAAATACATGCAATTTACACCGATTACTTTTCAGCATTCACCAGCGTCAATCACTTTCTTCTGCTACACGACCTGCGCCCTTCTTTTTGCGTCACTGTCCGTACGTACAACCGACTGGAGTCGTTCTTTATATATATATATATATATATATATATATATATATATATATATATATATATATATATATCCCTCTCTCTCTCTCTCTCTCTCTCTCTCTCTCTCTCTCTCTCTCTCTCTCTCTCTCTCTCTCTCTCTCTCTCTCTCTCTCTCTCTCCCCCACGGAAACTTCCGGGTGGGAGCCGTAAGGCGGGCTGCAGAATGCAACGCAGTACTTGCGTTAGGCATATTCGACACCGCTCATGCAGTTTTGGTTGTCATTGTTGGACGACCGAGCGCTGGGAAGACACCGTCTGATGATCTGCACAGCAACAGATGTCACAGCTTCTGGCGTGTCTCCGCCGGTTTCGTCCTTCTCAGGTGCGTTTGACAGCGGGACGGCTGACCCAGCCAGGATCAGTGTCTGCGACGGGAACTCAGCATCGGTGTCGTCGCGATGGTCCATCATGCTATTAAGTCGGTCGTCAACTCCCGCTAAATCACGGACCCGGTCGCAGGCCCATTCTGGTTCTGCATGCTCTTCGGTAGCCTGGATTCGCTGTTGCAGAGCCCATTGCGCATTACACTGCTGATTTAGCCTCCATTTTAACATTTCTTGTTCTGGGCCTTCGGTAAAACCCTGAAGTGATCAGTGCAAATATCTCTCTTTCCTTTTTTTTCCTTCTTATTTTTCTATCTTTCTTGCATATATCTCCCGTTCTTGAGTGTGATAGCAATGTGTGCAAAGGCGATGAGGAGTCTGAATGTGCTTTGCTCGTAAGTCCTGTGACCCCCATGTCCGTATACTGCCTGACTCACCTTTGCTCGATCCGTTTGGACTGGACAGCTGTACCGTATGGTCGTATAGCCCAACTGTTACGCGATCTCAGTGCACACAAAGCCTGCAGCCCCGACGGACTGCGCCCGGATTCCCAGGGAGTATGCCGAAGAGCCAGCTATTCCATTGGAAATGATATGTAAGCTTGCCCTAAGCTCTGACGTCTTTCCTGCCATGTGGGAGCAAGCGAATGTGATACCGGTGCACAAGAAGGGGTCCAAAATGCTGCCTGAACATTTCAGGCCTGTGCCTTCACCGAATCGATAACGCAGCAAATCGTCCCACGCTTCAGGCGGATTTAGGTCGCCTCTGTGAATGATCCAGAAACTGGGGACTGAGATTAAACCCAGCCACGTGCAAAACCATCTTTTTCCCCCTCCGCACGTCACCTGTTTACTTAATGCTCATATGCACTAGACGGTCACCGTTTGGATAACTGCCCGCAGATTCGCGATCTTGGTGTCCTCCTGAACACTAAACTCGCCTTTGTTACTTTTTTGTTACTTTTTTTACCTAAGTTAGTTTTTTTGCTGATTGCGAGGGTGATGATTGGGGACATTTTGAGGCTTATCACGTTGTCCATAGGCGCTATGCTGTTGACAGGGCTCTATATGCCCATTTGCTGGGTTCATCCAATCGCTAAGGAGCCGTCCACGTTGCCCTGGATCTATTCGTATTTTCTCGTAGGGCCCTAAACAGCTGTTGAGGAACTATCTGCTAACATGCCTGGACACCCTTGATCGATCAGGGGCCCTCCACGGATTCTTCCCACACGCCCGAAAGGCTCTATACACTTTTGCTAGGGCCCCATAGCCGGGGTGCACTCAGTTGTTCAGGGGCCCTTCATATGGCTCTCTGGTTCTTTCCACTTGCTCGGAAGGCTCTGTGCTGCTACAAGGGCCCATATAACGTAAGACACCGAGCCATTTGATTGTCACTTGCATCGAGTCACGTGATCAGGAGCCCTCTACGTTGGCCTCGGACTCTTCCCCTTAAATCTCATTTTCGGAGGACTTTCCACTCCTATCGGGACCCTCTCTGTTAACCTGCCCACACAGGGGCACTAATTCATGTACACTGGTCTTGGGTAGTTTCCATGTGCTTAAATGGCCCTGTGCTCTGGCCGGATTCCTATATGCCAGTCTGCCGGGACACTCCCGATCGTTTAGAGGCTCACCACGTCAGTTTTGGTGCCTGAGAACTGCAGTCGGATCTGCGCCGATGATTTTTTTTACGCGCAATTGTCGAACATAACTTCACGTGCCTCTGATGTTAAATTGTGTCATTTCCGTTGGTTATTGCATTTGTGACACCTAGTCTGTTTGTGTATGACGTTCTTAATACATTTTAAAAGCTGAGATGCTTTGTATTCCTTTAAGACAGGCAAAGTAAAAACTCTACATTAGTCATCGGCCATCAACTGATCACATCGACCAGCCGGTTAGCCGTAGATAAGCTGGGAATCAAAGTAATGCGTGATTTTGATGATATGTGGCAGCCAGCTTTAGTTTGTTTTGCCATTTTTTTTCGAATTGTTTACCCCTAACATAACGCCATTTATCATGATCTGGAGAAAATGAACAACCTCTATGAATGTTCATGTGTAGCACGCCTGGTTTTCTAGTCTGCGCACGGCAACATGGGATTCCGTAAACAAAATATAATATTAAGAACATTAAAATTTAATGGCCAGAGTGCGAGGATTTTTTGGAGAGGCCCCGAACCTAGGGGACCCACGATGTTGCGTGCCCCTTCCCCCCCCCCCCCCCCGTGAAATCCTGAATCCGCCCCAGCGCCTAGCGGTCTTCCTCTAAAAGATGGGTCAAAACTTTGTGGTAACATGGCCAACCCATTTTTGTGTTGAAAAATTTAACGCACAGGCAGAACTGATAAGTGGGAAAAATTATACCATGTAGTTTTGAACATGCGCGCTCGCAGATCTTAGCAACAAAACCTCCAAAACCGGCGCTGCAGCCTCCACAGGCCACGCGGCGTCTGCCTCGCTTCGACCCCACGGCGAACACTCGGCGGTGGCCAACAGGCGACGAAAATGATGACGTATCTGAAATAAATATCTTTGAGCTCTTTAGGGCATCAATTTATACATTTAGAAGGTAGACCTTACGTCATGTATTTCTGTTGTGTGATTTGTAGCATAAAAATAAGAACGAACCAGTCTTTGCAGCAGTGCGAAGTGGTGCTTGAGTGAAATATCCGTAAAGTTGAGAGTTTATTCAGCGATTTTTTTCAGCGACGAGCTCCAGTTTCTCTGAAAGCACGTGAAACGGTCGATCATGGTACGAGAACATCGGAAATGACATTTCTTTTGCATTATGATGCGTCTTCCAAGGCGACCAGCAAGGCCAAAGGGCGGGAAGCTCAGTATCGCCCAAAAATTACCGACCGATATTAGATTTAAGGCATTCAGAATATTAACAAGCACAAACACTAGCGTCCGCCAAAAGTCCTAACCTTTCAAGCTCACCATTCAAGGTCAAGCTCGGGCTCAAAGGACGGGGAACTCCACAATACCAAAAAATTACCAACCAATTTTCAGCTTGCAAGCATCGTAATATTCACCAGTGCATGAACAAGTGTCCGTCAAAACGCGCTGACTTCCCAAAAGTCACTCTTCAAGCTCAAACTCAGGCCCAAAGGACAGATAATTATGCATCACAAAAAACCGGCCGATATAAACTTTTCAAGCATCAGAATATTTACCATCGCATCAACAAGCGTCCGTCAAAGCGTTTAGGCCTCTCAAAGTTGCCGCGGGAGGTCAAACTAGGGCTCAAATGACGAGGAACTCTGTACCTTGAAAAAGTTACCGGCCGATTTCAACTTTTCAAGCATCAGAATACTCACCAGCGCATGAGATAGCGTCCTTGAAGAAGTTCTGACCTCTCAAGATCATCCTTAACTTGTTTTTAGAAAAACTAGAGCTCGCTGCTAACTAAATCGCTGGATAAATCACCCAAATTGCAGGTCATTTGAGTTGTAGTTTGAGCTTAAAGCGTGAACTCGAGAAGTCAGGACTTCTGAACGAAAGCTAGCTGCTTCTGTGGTGAGTATACTGGTGTTTGGAAGCTTAAAATTGGCTGGTAAGTTTTTGGTGATATGGAGTTCCCCGTCCTTTGAGCCTGAGTTTGACCGTGAAGGGTGTCTTTGAGAGATCAGTATTTTTTTTACGAGCGCTGGTTTGTTCTGGTGGTGAATATTCTGGTGATCGCAAACATAAAATTGGTCGGTAATTTTTTGTTGATATGGAGCCCCCCATCCATTGTGCCGTGGCTTACGCTTGAGAGATGACCTTGAGATGTTACACTTTTTGACGGTCGCTAGCTCATGCGTTCGTGAATATTCTAATGTTTGGAAAGTTGAAATCGGCCGGTAATTTTTTGGTGATATGTATTTCTCCTCACTTGATCCTAGTTTCACTTTGAAGGGCAACCTCGAGAGGTCAGAGCTTTTTGGTGGACGCTGCATCCTCGTGTGGTGAATATTCTGGTCCTTGCAAGTTTGAAGTCGGTCGATAATTTTTGGTGATATGGAGTTCCCCGTGTTTTGAGCCTGAATTCGACGTTGAAAAGTGCGTTAAATGCTCCTTGAGGATATTTGACATTGGTCAAATGCTCATTGGTGCTCTTGAGTGGTCAAGATCTTTTGACGGATGCTAGTTTTGCAGGTTGGAAACATTCTGGTGCTTGCAAGCTCAAAATCAACCTGTAATTTCTCAGTGATATGGAGTTCTCCGTCCTCTGGCCTTGCTTTTGAACTTGAAGGTCAGATAACATTGCAAAACAAACATCACTTTCGATGTTCTCGTGCCATAATTTAGCGCAAGACGTCTTTCAGAGAAATCAGGACTCCCCAACTTCACGGACGTAAGGAAGAAACTGTGTAGCTGTGTAGAAACTGTGTATTTGTGTAGCTGTAGCTGTTCGCGTGTGCAGAGGACAGCCTCAAAATTATGAAAAGATGCGCCCCAGCTTTGAACGGTAGGTATTTGTTCTGAGTTACTTTCGGAAGCACCACTTCACGAGCCCCTATTCAGTCCCCCCCCCCTCCGCCCCCGTTTGGGTTCAAGCCACAACGAACTTCGAGAAGAGAGGTCCAAACCCGGAGACGAAATCGTTTGTTGGTGTCTTTTCGCGGTAGGTTGGGTCATTTTCCGCTGTTCAGGCCCTCCTCCCAATTCATTATGCGAAGCCACGGCCGCTGTACGCGTTAATTGCCCAGTTTGAGAGCCGGCGATGGTTTTACGGTTCTATTTGGCCTGATCGAACTCGCCGGTGACGCGCCTGCGCGTAGTCTGTAATCCACCCGTAGCGTGGAAGGCAGCAGTTTGAGATTGGTTACACCACGGCCGTAGTATATTTTCGGGCGCTCATGCTGTGTGAAAACGTTCCAATATACGCTACCACCCGACGAAACATCGTTACGTGTTCGTGTATTGGCCCCTTTTTCATTGAGTTCTTCCAAAGTTATCTACGAGTTGGAGGAGTTTCTTTGTGTTCACGCACTCGATTATATCGCTTTTCCTAAGTGATTCTATTTTAAGTCCCATTTCCGTAATACATAACTAGAAAGAATGTCCGGCTTCATATATTGTCCAGCACGCAAAGCAAATCACTCCGATAACGTATGTTGAGAGCCATTGTGAATAGTCGTGAGCAACCGATCACAGGAACCAGCGTCATATCTCACAATTGTGCCCTCGGATGCCCGTCCTGCATGACTCATCAATAATATTCTTCCTCGCCTTTAACGTCACATGGTACGCGGGATTTCACAATTTGAGGAATGTTCGTGAAACGTCGCGCATGTGTGGATAGCCTTACGACCACGCTAAAACGTGCCACCTCTGCACGGATGTGTACCTCAGAAACTACAAACTTTTCGACCTTAAGAAAAGCACCGCTGTGAACTGAAGCAAAGGATTTTCAAAATGCTGGTTCAGTTCAAAACCTTATACAAACGTGGAACCTTCGGCCTGGGCGTAAGCGCAAGCCACAAACAACGGTCCCTGTGCGGGGCGAGGCCGGTCAGCGGAGGATTTCCAAGATGGTCGTAGTCTTGCCACACTTTTCGCCCGTCCGCTTAATGTCATATGCCTTGCACTTGTGTCACATATGACAATGCTTCGGAATGGTCATTTCTGGCAAAAGGTGCTGTAATCTGCTCTGAACCGAATGCCAGGGCACACTTGCATGAGTTCCAATGGCATTTGTCTCGGTTCGGGTTCATTAGGTTTTCAACTTTCACCCAGACAAGGCTTCGCTCACCTGAAACCACACAACCTGTTTCGCTGACATGAGCCTTTTCCCTTCAGTGCTCGCATAATTTCTTACACGATATGCCAAAATGGTAACACATCACATACGTCATCCGACGAGGGCGCATCAAATTATTCCAACAAATCGCAGCACGTCACGACAGCACGGCTGATACCCGCTGTTGCGCGACCGTGGCATGGCGTTTCAGCATCAACGATTTAATCTACCGTGCGCGCCACATGTTCCACGTGGCGCGAGCGCAGGTCGTCGCCGCCGTGTGCGTACCGGCACTGCGGCGCCGGCAGCGGACAGCCGGCCGGCAGGTGGTCATGCTGCCAGCAGCGGCTCGTCTTGACGCTGGCGGCCAGCTCGGGACGCGCGCCGTCCACGCGCAGCCAGTCGGCGTCCTGCAGCGAGACGGCACCGGCGCGCACGCGGAACACGTGCGGGTGGTTCTTCAGCAAGGTCTGCAGGCCGCCGCACTGCTGGCGTAATTGGCGCAGCGTGTCGCCGCCCAGCAGCTCGGCGACGGCCGACAGCGGCAGCGCGCCGTCCGCCACCACCCGTAGCGCCACCCGCCGCACGGCCTCCGCCACTGTCTCCCTCGCCAGCTGACTGCAGTTGCGCACGGCCGGCGCGGCGGCGCGCGGCCGGAAGGTGCCGGCCGCTGTCAGTTGGCGCAGCGCGTCGGCCGACACGGCGGCGGCGCGCCGGCGCCCCACCACGCACCGCCGACGCGTGGATGGGATGCGCAGACGGTCACGCTCCGGCGCGAAGCCGCACCGCTCCGCCAGCTCGTATAACGTACTGCATGTATTCCTCGTACTGCGACAGCCTGGCGGGCACGGCAGGCGACGCAGGTGAGGCGGTGGCCGCTCCGACTCGCTCGGTGCAGCGGGACTGTGGCGCCGGCGGCGGGTGTGAGGACACGGAGCGCGCCCGACTACACCCGTGTCGTACAGGCCACTGCCGACGCTGAACTTGCCAGACTGCTCGCTGCATGTGAGGCGAACGTGGTAATGATAAGGAAAAGCGCATCCCGGCGCTGGTGCAGCCTATGGCGGAATGCGCGACTCGCAAGGTGGCCACTTTGATCCAGCCAAGCGACTTTTGAGGAGGCAAAAGTTCACTCATCTGTCACAAAGGTCATGTCTGACCAGCGTGTTTGCATGCTCGAGTTTATGTAAGTGTCAGCTGATATAGAAAATAAGATGGCTTGTTCTGGATGACACGCACACTCACACGCACGCGCACGCACACGCACACGCACACGCACACGCACAGGATGTCCCAGGGGTATAACCGGCGTTAGAGCAGTGACGCCTGTTCTACAAGTCCAGAAAATCCGTGGCACTGCTTGACCTGACATTTAAGCAATGCCAATTGCCGCAGACGTCCTAACGGGAGGCAGGTCCGTCGTCTCACCTAGTGTTGCAACGCTGGTACTTGCTGTAGAAGTCCCACGGGCAGCAGGGCAACAGGAAGAAGCTGGTGTCGGGCCCGGTGGCGGCCGCCATCACCGGCAGCCACGGTGTCAGCTCGTCCGAGTGGTTGCCGATCAGCCAGTCGCACCCCGGGTATGTCGTCTCCGCCGATGGGGTGATGGTGGCCACCTGGCGACCAGCGCGCCGCTACAGGCACTGGGCAGTCGCGGGAGGGGAGACCTGGCCAGACCGTGACAAGCCCGCCTCCTATGACGTAAGTGGAGCCCGGCACCCATTCTCAACAGGCGGAGAGGCGGTACGAGATAAGGTGCTCGCTCGCGCTGATCAGGCATTCAACAACTTTATGTTTGAAACAGAAAATATAATACTTTCACGGCAGCACGGACGGAGGTGACACACAGGTCGGCGACGTCAGCGTTTGAAATCGGCGTCATGGGACGCCATCAGGTCTTAAGAGAAGCTACTGGTGCCATCAATATGCCTGGCTCCTCTCACCGAACGCCACGCGCGTTGGGTCAACACAGTGCTTTAGCTGTCACAGGCAAAAGTCTTAGGCACAGAGCCACTGAATCGGTCAAACAGCACAAGTCGACGGCTCCATCCCAGTGCGCAAGGCGGCCTGCTCAACACGGCACCGACCGTCAAACGACGCCACGTACGCCGCTGATCGATGGCGGCGCCGGGCTGAGCCTGGGCAGTGAATGGCGCTCGAAAACGCGCAGCAGTCGGACGACACATAACACTGGCGGACGACCAGAAATAGAAGCGGCTAAATGAGGGAACAAGCGGTGACGCCGTGACCGCGGACCCGGCGAGGAGGCCGCACGACTGGCGCGCGGGACGCGCACCGGAGACGAGTGAGGTAGGACGAGACGAGTAGGCTGAAAGTGACGCAGGTCTAGTACATCTAATCCAGCAGTGCTGTAAGATAATGTTGGTAAAATGCCATTGAATACTGTGAGGCTTCCAGATTGTATGCTGTTCAGGTCAACTATCGATCGATAACAACTTTCCAACTCCGATCAACTACCAGCAAAGAACCCAAGCAGGTTAATCCAGCTGTTGGTGCAAGTAGATAGCAAATTTGATTTCTTCCTATATCGCGAATGAGAGCAGGTTTGTTTCATTGCTTTGTATTGGTCAAATGAAAACGCTGAATTTTGTTTGACAGCACTACACTACCTTCCGGTCTTCCGTTACAGGATCAGTCTCTGCTTGCTAGCAAAGCGGCCGTTCTCTGTGTTCGTCTCCCCATACTCTAAGCTTTTATATTTTTTATCACGATCTGGACGATCGCGTGGTGAACACAAACTGAAGGTGCTCCGTCAGCATTGGCCTAACGCTCCCGGTTATTCTTGACATGACTGCTGATGTCTGACGCCGCGACCGTGAAGCGCTGCTGAGTACGTCCCGCAGTGTCGCGTCGTGGGATTAAACGAGTCCGGGAACACGATACAAACTGGGTGACAATAATACAAAATGCATTACGACACGTTGACATTTGTCGGTACTTTCAAGGTCATGGGCCTGCGTCAATTGAACTCTACTGAGCACGTAAGCCCGCTTCCCCATACGTGGTCATTCAACGCAGTTGACTCCCCAGCTGTCGGAGGCGGTGACGAACTGGGCAAAGTCCCCTGGTGCGGCGGTCCAGCCAAGCAGGGGCAGCCGGAACAACGAGAGTTAGGGGAGAGGTGTTAGGCTTGTCCTGGGTTCTATGTCTACGCAATGCCTCGCTCAGGGTTGTAGTTTCCTACGCAGTTGACCACCCCCTACCCTCGAACTTCGAAAGAAAAGTGAGTTAAATCCGTGGGAAACCCATTTGGTAGCTCATTTGGGGGAAAGTTTCGCGATTTCAACTGCTCAGTCTCCCTCCCCCCCCCCCCCCCTCAAGCCCAACTGGTCTTGCAAAACTACGCCTCTGACTTCGCTCCTCCTGTAACCATGTTTGAAATCATTCGAGTCGTTCTGCAACCCACTACTTTGATGTGCTGCTGTCATGTCCGTACACCCACCGTTTGAGCCTTCAATCCTGCCCGAAATTCATGGCCCGTTCAACTGGTCCTTCTTTTCGCTTCACCCCGGAGACGGCATGAGACGGACAGGTGGGACTGCCGACTCGGCGGAGTGGCCGCGGATGAGGACATGATAGCACAAGTGGGTGTAAGACTGTCAACCCAACAGACAGACTACGGACGGGGACGGGGACGAGGACGGACACGGACACGGACACGGACACGGACACGGACACGGACACGGACACGGACACGGACACGGAAGCAGGAGACTGGGACGGGTCTCACCTCCAGCCGGGTGGAGGTCGGGTACATCTTCCAGATGCCGCGGCTGCGTATGTCCACGCCGTAGCCCGGGTGGCCCTCGGAGCAGAGGATGTGCACCTGTCGACCCGCACCTCACACGCGTCAGGACACGCCACTGCCGTTGGGTATCACCGAAATATAGAAACTGGCTTGGTACGGAATAGGCGTACGGCTCATGATCGAAACATCAAGTTGAAGTTCACCATATTCGACTTACCCCAGTAATTCAAAAGTTACCGGGGTCAAGAACAAACGGACGCCGGTGGCAGTTACACCCCTCGTGAAGGCAGGCAGCAAGGCAGTGGAATATATGCTACGCGATGCAACAGCAGATCATTCGCTGTTCTTATGTCCATGTTCTGACAACAGACTTGTTGGCTTAAACGTAGGCAGGGACTTCAGTGTTTTAGACGTTCAGCTCTGCCGTCATTATTGGTTGGCCTCGACTTCAGCTTTAAACAAACCACGTGGTCGTGTCGACACCTGAACACTACATTTGCTATGCAACAGCCTGTTACCGTTCATAGCCATTAGTCCTCGGTCAGACCCACGGTTTCACAAGATCTGGCTATTCTGCCCACAGTTCATCACAACGAGCAACAGAGGGCAACACCTTTAGTCCTCGCAACGAGACAGCCCGACCAACACAGCAAACGCCACCCCCAGCACAAAAAGGAAACAACCCAGAAAGGCTCGACACCCGAATGCTATCACGTCAGCCATCCCGTCAGACGCACTGCGACCAGCGCGTCGGCGCTGCCCTCTACACACGAAGCTCTAGCGCCATCCGCTTCCGGTCGGCGGCGGCGCGCTTGATCCAGCTCCGGCGGAACGCCCCCGTCTCGGCAGCACCGAGCCAGCTCCGACAGTGTCCCCGTCTCGGCGGCACCGAGCGAGCTCCGACAGACTGTCCCCGTCTCGGCAGCACCCGAGCCAGCTCCGACAGTGTCCCCGTCTCGGCGGCACCGAGCGAGCTCCGACAGATTGTCCCCGTCTCGGCAGCACCGAGCCAGCTCCGACAGTGTCCCCGTCTCGGCGGCACCGAGCCAGCTCCGACAGTGTCCCCGTCTCGGCGGCACCGCGCCAGCTCCGACAGTATCCCCGTCTCGGCGGCACCGAGCCAGCTCCGACAGTGTCCCCGTCTCGGCGGCACCGAGCCAGCTCCGACAGTATCCCCGTCTCGGCGGCACCGAGCCAGCTCCGACAGTGTCCCCGTCTCGGCGGCACCGAGCCAGCTCCGACAGTGTCCCCGTCTCGGCGGCACCGAGCCAGCTCCGACAGTGTCCCCGTCTCGGCAGCACCGAGCCAGCTCCGACAGTGTCCCCGTCTCGGCGGCACCGAGCCAGCTCCGACAGTGTCCCCGTCTCGGCGGCACCGAGCCAGCTCCGACAATGTCCCCGTATCGGCGGCACCGAGCCAGCTCCGACAGTGTCCCCGTCTCGGCGGCGCCGAGCCAGCTCCGACAGAGTGTCCCCGTCTCGGTGGCATCGAGCGAGCTCCGACGGAGCGCCCCCGCCTCGGCAGCACCGAGCGTGGCCCGCGCCAGCACTCACCAGCAGGCCGTTCCCGCAGCCGATGTCGACGAAGGTCTGCGGGAGCTCCAGCTGGAGGGTCCGCCGGTCGTTCTGCCACAGCAGCAGCAGGTACGCGGCGATAGCCACGTCCTCGTACACAAACTTGAGTGGGTCCGTGTTCTCCGGCCAGATCTGCGCGGTGTCACAGTGGATCATCGACCATGTCGAACATATGCACTGCAACTGGTTTAAAGATACATGCATCGCAGACGTTCCTGTCATATGCGTCAGAAATAAGACAAACACAGATAGGCACAATGATGTCCAAACGGCAGGAGGCGGCATGCGTCATCCATTCATGCACCTCAATATCTGTGGGTGAACTTTACCTCAGCATGCAAGTGCACAATGGGGCGAACTTTACCTCAGCATGCAACTGCAAAATGGGGCGAACTTTACCTCAGCATGCAACTGCAAAATGGAAAACCAAATGGCGGAGCGCACGTGGATAACACCAGATTCGACCACGCAGAGCAAGAATTATACTGAACAACAAAGAAGCATCTTAAATGACCAGTGAAGCAAATAATGACCCAACTACCTTGACAAACTCGGCGCCATATTTTTCCTTAAGTTCCATATAGAGGTTGGTGTATTGTTCTGCATCGACGAGCTGCAGAGAGTGCTCCCCCAGCGGGCGTGCTGCCTCCGTCGCCAGATCTACAGTCCATCGCGCCATTTTCGGTAGCGCGTGCTCAGCGAGCCACCTGGCGGACGGGGTGTCAACTGCAGATGGTGGCGCCACCAGGCGGATATCACCGGAAACTAGTTGCAGCTTGTGCGGAAAAGGCGGAATTAGCCTGCTGCCGCTTTGAAGTGGAAGGAAGCCTACAGACGACCCATCTGAAATAAACCAAGGTGCACAAGATGATGCAGCCTCATGCGACAACATGAAGCGACCATAAATATAGCATCAGCCAATGGCTAAATATATGGTGTGTATGTTCATGACATCCAGCAAGATATTGCACATCATCACGTACATATCACATATCATTACGTGGATGCTACATGATTCTGATGTGCAGCTTCTGGTCTCTCTTTAAGTCTTTAAATACAACCATCACATGGACATCAGTTGCGGAAAAATAGCAAACGGTAGGGCGATCTTCGAGCAGCTCCGAGCCTGACGAGGACGCGTGAGTAGCACGCGTTACCCTCTGCAGACACTGACCTTTGACGACAAGCTCCAGCTCTGCCTCCAAGCCTGCCTGGCGAGGCACAAGCTTCCTGATGGCCAGCTGGCGGCAGCCAGCGGCCGGCTGCCCGCCATCTAGCACATCCAACGCCGCACAGCCAGCCACCGCCTCCGGCGAGACCACCCCCAGTCGGGCACACAGCGTCCGGGTGACGTCACACGGTATGACGTCACCATCCGGCGGCGGCGGCAGAGACCAAACGACGGCGACGGTCACGCGCCGGTTCAGGACGTGCGCCTGGCGAATCAGGACTTCGGCCGCCCGCCCAAAGCCCAATTCATTCCCCTCCTTCACTGGGTGTGACGCTACAGTGCACAGCTGGTCCTCCTGGGCTACAGATGTTTTGCTGCCATTCATAGGGGGTTGCGATGTCATATTGGTTGGCTCGTCCTCCCAGACAGAAGGGTCTTCACTGGCCTCTGTGACCAAGTATGGCATCAGAACAGACAGCTGGTGCTCCTGGATGGAAGAAACAGACATTGTCATGGGCACCTTTTTGTACTATCAGCAATCAACAAAGGAATGCTATCTTAATGCATCAAAATAAAATCCTACAAAATCTGCATGGCTGAAAAAGGGTTGAGACTAGAACACTGCATGTCAGGGAGCAATGTCCTTCCTGAGTCCTCACACAGATATACTTACACAAATTTGTCCTGAACTGAGGGTAGCAAAACCCAAATGCAGCTTGGAAAGGTGAAACTGGAGTTAACTATATCTAGCAAAGCATGGCATCATGTAAAAAACAGCTATATGGTCTGCTAAATTGCCATGGTCTTTGTTGTGTTTGGATGATGATTTAGCAGAGCCCCTGTGATTATGTCTGCTAATTCCCATTATCTGTCAGCCTATTACTATTGAATAATTATATTGAAAATAAATAATATTACTAAAAATAGTCGATATGTAGTGGCAAAACTGTGAAAGCAAAACAGCTATAACATAGACTTATAGGCGGCCACTCCAGCCAGATCTACCCATGACATGTAGAAGTCACCACATTTACAATCATATAGCAACTGAAATCAACAAATAATGATAAGCAACAAACCATATAGCAACAAACAGTTCTTATGTCCTACATCATGTAAATTGCAGTTATTCCCTGTGGTAAGTTATATTAGTCATGTTTTGATTTTGATTACATGTGAAGATTATTCTGTAGCTGGTTGCAAGAGAGGACTGCCAGGCAAGTATCATGACCACCCTTTAAGGAGTCCTGAATTCACAGAACAAGATATCCTATATAATAGGCCCTCAAATGAAGACAATTTTCATATTAGTTATGATACTGTGACAACCCAGTCTGACAGCTTCTAAACTTGTTAATATATATCCTATATATATAATATATATATATATATATATATATATATATATATATATATATATATATATATAAGCAGTGTGTGTGTGCATGTGTGTGTGTGCATATGTGCATTTGCACATGTGCATACATGCTTCAGATGCTTGGATGTGGCAGTGCTAATGCAAACACTTAGACCATACAGTAATAAGGACTTTTCAAACTTGTAACATAATTTTTGCCTTTCCAAACCAGCAAACAATGCCACCCCTGACCAGCCAAATGGCCCTTGAGTAGCCCTGAGGCCCCTTTGTGTTCTGAAGGAGGTTTGAAAGGCCAGAGACCCCAGGTAGCTATAATAGCCCTTAAGTGACCAGTGAACCTCTGGTAGCCAGAAAGAGCCCACTGAACAGCCAGAGCAGCCAAGAATAGAATGTGGGATCTACTGAGCACCAAAAAGGATCAAATTGTTACTGTCCAGACTTGTATTCTATCAAAGACCCTTTTCAGCATTTCCCATTTATATAAGCCAATTATGCATATTTTTCTTCTTTTCCAGTCATGTGGGACAAATAGGGCCCTGCCAAAGGACCCTTGGACTCCCAAACCCCCAGATTTTTGGTTTTGCAATGCCTGGTGGTGTGGACCCCCAAGCTTCACAGACTCTCTTGCCATGGACCTCACTCCCAAAATTTGACAACATTCTGTTCCAAAGGCTGAGGGTCAAAGATTTATCACTATGTTACTGCTCAGGCAAAAATCAGATAGCACTATCCACACCAGAACTCATTAGGGCAGGTCTTCCTTGAACATTTACTGTCTACACTGCACTTCATTAGAGTATGTCTACCTTAAATGCTCATATATGATTCAAGAAAGTGGTGATCCTATCCTTGCTGTGTGGTTTTCCCTTTAAAAATATCGCTCACTTAACCTTGCATGCCCACTCTATCATGTCACTAAGCAACTTTTTTTGAAAACATACCAGAAACATACCAATGTGATTTTGCAGCACTTTTCTCATAGATATTCCCATGCACAGTTAATTATATATACTTCTGTACTATACACACACAACTATCACACATGCTACTACAATACACATACTATACTTCCAAAATTTGCCAACTGTTATCAGACCAATTTCAGGATGCATGGGTCTCACATGGGCATGCATGGTGACCCCAATGGGAAAGTGCACTCAAAATTAGATTTGGGCCGCATCTGCTCGGTGGCCAGACAGCTTTTTTTCACTACATGTGCAGAGGTGCTGTGTATTAAGTTACTTTGACTTGATTTTCCACTGATGTGAATTATAATCCTGTAGCACAGTCCGCTCTCACAGCCCGACCAAACACTAAGTCAGGTGTTACTGTGAGTATTTGCCCAATACTTTGGTAATAACAACAACAGCAATAATATAACGTCCGAGGGGTCCCAACACGCCACGCCCCCGCCACGCACTACCACCCAAGCCAACTCTCTCGCGCAACTCCACTTGCCTGACGCGTAGGCGCCCTAAACAACTGCCATACACTACAATTCCTCAATATGTATGATTGGGAAGGAAATACATTTGTTGATGGTTGCACTTTGTCAACTCCCAGCCCCCTATTATCCTTGACACAATATATGGGCACCACGGCAATACAAGGTTGAGTTATCTTTAAGAGCTTTGACCACATGGTCTGGAATGCACAGAGTGGTTTGCCTACTGTCACTACAACTGTAACATATGCGCCATAACTGAAACCGTCTTCGGATTATTTTGTGTGTCTGTCATATACATTTTGTTTGCTCTTCAGAATCAACCTAGCTTCAAGATCAAACTAAAATTGAGTTACAAAAATATCATGACTCTGTGTAAAAGATGACTTTTATCTCACAAATTATTCTAGATCTAATCGTCCAGCCAATGATCAAGAAGTATTATATATCATCAGCTGATCGGGAGCGCCTTTGTTTCAGGCACGCGGCTGTGAAATGTTTTTATATCATTCGCCGTGTTGTGACGCATTCCTTCTTTGGCAAAATACTGCTTGGTTTGACTGTAGTTATGGATCAGTTGGATTTGTGTTGATAAGTTGAGATTTTTTACCATCCACGAAGGTCAACATGCTTAAATCTTACCAGTCTCTAAGTTTCTTGTATTTTTTGTACTGAGACCTGTGATTCACGGCATATTCATTGTTTTCGGAAAATTAAATTTTATAAAAACCTAGGGACTCATTTGGGTGAACATTTGCCATGCGGGCTGGAAGGACCGCCGCACAACGGTGGGAAATCTTAATCAAGTTGTGCAGCAGATGCGTTCTATGACGTCATCGCAGCCTTCTGCTGCAGTTGGAGACCTGTGCATTGAATCAGTTCGTTGTGGAGCACGAGGAGAGGGGGTTGGGCACGGGCGCTTCTGTTTGTGCTGCGAGGCTACGATTTGTTGATTGGTGAATTTTTTGACGGGAAGAACGTGCAGTGCTTAAGTAACGCTACCTGTTCTGCATTTAAGCCCGTTTTATACGTGGGTTCTGTTTCTGGTAGGAGAGGTGGGAGAAAGTGAACGTTGAAAGTTATTGGAATCAAGCGGCCCCAATTATGTCCATTGCTGCTCTAATTGAGGCTGCTGATTTTCTAGAGAGGAGGGAAAGAGGTAAGGAAATCCCGTATGTCTGCTAATTTTATAAATCCGTTGGACTTCCGAATCGATCCAAAGCAGACTCCAGGCATGTGTGAAAAAGTAATTGTTGTCTGCATAATCCTTGACTTAGGCCTGCACCAGTCAGGTTTCATACCAAAATATCTTCTTTTTTAAAGAGCAAGTTTTTTCTGTAGTCCATTTGGATGCGTTGCTGTGTCAAAGTCAATTTGTAGCCAGCATATGTGATATGCTATTCATGTATGCTCATGAAGATGATCCATTCCATGTGAATTGATATTGCTGGGTCAAGTTATCTTCTCCATATCTCTCTTTTTATGGAAAATTATCAGTATCCCAATGGTTTGAAAGTTATTGTGCTTAAAAATGTCATTGTTTAAATGCCCTGTTAGTCATATCACAATTTATTTTGATCATCCTATATGTGCACTGTGTTGTCATGTTTTCATTTTTGCAGAAGCAGAGCATGGCTATGCTATTGTGTCAATCATTCCTGCTGATATTCATCGGGCTGACTCCAAGCACAAAATCAAAAAGCATCTCAAGGCCAGGAAAAGCTTTAACAGCAGGTTAGTAAAATACTTTGTTTGCTTCAGTGATCCTTCATGAACATTTAGGTATACCAGTAGAAAGTGGTAACCTTTGTTATTTTCTACATGTGGTGAACATTTCCAGAGACATACTGCACAAGTTCTTGGTTTCATTTAATGACTGTGGTTACTCCTGTCATATTGGAGCTTTCAGATAGATGTTAATAGACATGTGAAATACACATGTGAAACAATGCAAATCTCATACACATGTGAAACAATGCCTTGCTGGTGCTGTTGGCATGCATGCCTTTTTACAGTTTGGGGGAGAGATGTGACATGTTGGCTTTTTAGTCTGAGCGGCAGTTGGGGATGTAGTATGTTGCATCATTTTTTTTAAAATCATGGTTCTGTCATGTTCCAGGTCCACTCACAATGAGCTGGAAAAAAATCGGTGAGTGACGGAAACCACCAGTGGTGGCATGGTGCGCTCCATGTATGTTGCACTGTTCACCTCAGGTCTGAACCTCAGTGAACTGCTGAACCATGCACGTGGCTGTGGCGGGCCGGCGGCAACCGGACTGGCCGTGACGCCATGTGCCGTGCCGTGCCGTGCCGAACCGTGTCGTGCCCACTGCGTTCCGTCCGTCCGAGCGTCGCTCCTTTGTTGGCCGAGAGCGTGCCGCGGCCGCTCTGCCTTGCTATTGATCACGTGGCGGCCGGTCAGCTGACGCGGCGCGCCGGCGCGCCGCGCCCGCTTTGTCCGCCGCGCCGCGCGCGCTCTGTTTGGAGGCTTGCAAACGGCCTGGCCGGTGCCCCTGGGCCGGTTCAATGGCACCATTAGGGGCGCCGCGGACGCCAGTGCGGGCGGAGCGGGGCGCCGCCAGTTTCACGGCCGCGGCGCCGCCCCGGCCTCGCGTGGGCGCCGGGACGGCCGGGCGTCATGGGCGCCAGCGCACGGGGCGATCAGGCTTATTGTGGGCCGCGCTGCCCCGGTTTGAATCTGGGCGGCCCCTGACTGGCGTGAGAACTGAAGTAGGTGCGTGCTGGTGATGATCCTTATCGTGGCCGGGATGGGCACATACCGGGCAATCGTACCAACAGCACACAAAGGCAGTCACCCAGCGTATTTATCGAGACATCAGTTCATTGTAATCGTGAATGGAAAGCAGAGATGGCTGGCTGATTGACGTGCGTGCGCTTGATATATTTTGACAATGGTAACGGAATAGTTGCGCAGTGCTGGAAGGCGGGTAAATGCGAGTTGAGTTGAATGTAGAGGATATCAGATGCAGCGCGTAGTCGGGGATATCACATTCAGCTCCCCGCTCATCTTCGGTTTACAGTTTTACTGCCGTTCGTTTGGCGTAGTTTTCATGTTTTATCTGGTGCTATGTCTCTCCTCCCCACCCCCTCCCCCGTGGCGTGCGTCCAGTTTTACAATTATATCATGACGGTGAAAGGAGAGCGTGGGCAAGGGCTATAACTCCCAATTTTCATGTCGGTTAAGCACTAATCCTATGGTCATGCGCGGAGATGATACAGCTGCGAGGCATGCCCCTACCCCCATACGCACGCGTTCTAGGACGTTCCTACGTCTCAGTAGCGTGGACTCGTCCGGGTATCTGGGCCGTTGCTGTTGCCGTCATGGCCTTGGCGGGACTTGCCGTCCGGCTGGACGCTGGCGGTGGGGCCGGCCTGCTGAATATGGGACGGACTCCGGACGGTCGGGTGGCGCGCCAGACACGGCCGCCGGTGCCGCTGAGTGCCCTTCTGTCTGACTTTGGCGGCGCGTGTCGCCTGCGGTGCGGGGGACGCACCCTGAATGGTGTGCCGCTTCGCTCCCCCGACGGTGGCGGGCGCCGACAGTGGAGCGGCCGACCGCTCCCAGCCGGAGGGGGCGCGCTCCTGTCTGTGCCGGCTGTGTACGGCGCGACCGCGGCCGCTGAAAGGCCACTCGGTTCGGTCGAGCGGTGTGGGGCACATCTGTCGTCGGCACCTCTCCGCTGGCGCGAGGCGGCCGTAGCCGCCTGATACCGGCCGCGCCGTCTAATAACGGCAAAACACTCGAGTTCGGCACACTAATGGCCAGCGATAACGGCGGCGGTAGTCTCTCTAGCGGCGTGTTTTTGCTGTGTCGTGTTGGGCCGGCTACCTCTTGGGTCGATGCCAGCGCAACTCGCAGTCTTGCGGTCAAGTGTGTCGGGCAGGAAAGCCCCAGCATATGTCGCCGGTGACGTCGCCCACGCCGGTCGGCTTAGCTTGTCCGCTGCTTGGTCGCTCCTGGCGACGCTCACCGCGTGATGTGCCACTTGGTATCGCCGCCTGCGGCGTCAGCTGTTAGAAAGTGTGCGTCAGTTGCCGCCTGCATCGATGGGCGTCAGTTGTTATTTGTTGCAGATTAAACGGAGCTCCACATTTGTGTGAGGTTTTGAACTGAAACAGCCGTGTTGAAGATCGTGCGCTGCAGTTCACAGCCCTGCCCTTCTTAAGGCTTAAGCCCTGCTAGTTCCTTAGTAACACGCCCGCGAGGATGTGAGGGCTATTTCGGGAGACTATCTCAAGATCATCCAGGCATCCATGACGCCATATTAACGTCACTCAAGCCGTCATTCCATTAGCCATGCGGCGATCAAGGCCAAGGACAATATGATTGTCGAGTCGTTGATATCTGGCATTCGTGAACACGATTTCCAGATGTGATTGCCGCCATTCAGCTCTCAACCAATGTTGCAAGGCGCTACGACGCAATAAAACAATGACGTATTGAGAATCATATTTTCTAGACAGAGAAGTTGTGTTGTCTAGAGCAGGCTCCTCCACCTACAAGTATATCAATGATTACGCGTGAGCTTACCTCATCATCATATGCGATGCATCATGTCTGAGGAATGTCAGTGCAGCACCGTGGAGACATAATCATGACATCAATTTTGTCTATTTGCGAGTCCTAATTGCGCTGTCAACCCTTTTGAAGGGACTGTACTTTTTCCCTCCAGTCGCGACCACCGTCATACAACCACCGCGCGCACCCCTTCTGTTGCGAATAAGAGAACGTCTGTGATTGGCCCAGCAGACGATAGCCTGTTACAGAGGAGTGCATTGGTTGAAACTTGACCAGCGCGTCGCATGGATCATGTGGTGCTCCCATTCCCAAAGCCAAAGTGCGTCTCGAGAAGAGCTGCTGTGTGAAACGCCTGGGATAGAAATCAAAGCTATAGTAAAACGTTCCTTGAATTTGCTGGCTACCACCTTCATGGACGCATACATTTTTCTCTGAACAGAGTGGTTCAGCTTCCGTAGCGTTTATTGCACAAATATTCGGCACATATGAGTGTTGCAAACGTTACAGAGCACGCACGATGGAAAAAGCAAGGTAAATGAAATATATTACTGCGATATTGGTGCGCAGGGGGTGAAGTGAGATTTCTCCCGCAGGGTCGACTACTTCAAATCAAAACTCTAAGCTACTTAGAAGGATTTCGAGAAAACTGGTATTACTAATACAATTGTATGCGTCTGAGTGACAATAAGTGGAAGGTACAAAAAGGTGGGATGCTCCGTTTGACGAGTAGATGCGTCTCGGCAATACCGTGTAATATCCGCGTCGGATGTTTGTTCTACCTGCCAACAAGCTTGCGCAAATGGGAAACTTGCTTTGCCACGCGCCGTGAAGCTCAATATTAGCGGCGAGATCAGACTGGCGCCGGCGGTTAAGAACATCAGTTACGTTTGAACATCTCTAACGGCTCGTCTTTTGTGTGAGGTCAATATGACGGCTTCGATTGAAAGGGGGAGTTTACGCAGCTGATTTCTTGTCTCCAGTAGTTAAAACTGGCGGCTGGGTTACGCTATATTTGCGCGATCAATGACTACGGGGTTGTCAGTGTTCGACTTCGAGGCGTCTGTTCATGCCCGTCTCCGAATCCTTCAAGATCCGAGTGGCGTATCCGTAGGCGTGCCACGCAGCACGCGACGGACGGCAAGTCAAACACTGGGCGGAAGCGGCCGCTTGCCTGCCTCGCAGCTCTGATGAATCAGGTGTCAAACACGTGCAGGAGCCGGTGCCGGGCGCGCGGCTTGAACGCCACATCTGTCGCAAACGCGGCGCTATTTTGGTGGGCTGCCTCCGATCCCAGCTGTTTATGCCCGGGCCCGTTTTTCTGCGTTTCTTTGGCAAGGGCCGAGGAGCGGGGCCATATTTTCCCTCCAAACATTTGGCACCGGTGTGCGGGGCTGCGCGCGCGCCGGGAGGGCAAGGCACGACCGCAGCGTAATGAGCGGGCCGGCTAATTGTACCTGCCATTATGCCGGGCACAGCGCGGCCCCGCGGCCGCTGGAGGGCAAGGCAACCGCAGCGGCACGGTCGGCGGGGCGGCGGCCACCCGACACTGCGGCCGGCTGTCCGGCCCGGCCCGACCGGCTGCCAGCAGCTGGCTCCGGCTCCGACTCCGGCTCCGAATCGGCGTGACCGAGAGCTGCGCGGTCGTCACGTCGTGCGGGCCGCCGCCCGCGGCCGGCAGGTGCGGACGTCTTACCTGCTCGGGATTTATGGGGCGGCGCCCGGCGCACACTTCCTGCGCGCTCAGCCCGGGACGCACTATTATCATCCCTCCCCACTTCCTGGGACGCTCAGCGTCGCCCGAAACGGCATTTTGGCGGTGGAGAAGTGGGATGCGCTTTGTTTTCGCTGCGCGCGGGGCGGCCGGCCGCGGCCGTTGTCTCGATTCCAGTCGCGTTGCCGCGCCGCCACCCACTGCAGGGGGGCGGGGGGGGGGGGAGGGGTCGGCACCGTCGCGCGGAGGCCCCTGCTCAGATCTTGCATTGACCGGCACGCGTAGCGAGGTTTCCGGGCCGAATCGGGCGTGTCCCAGAAGCAGCTGTCGTGCACTGAGCGGGCTTGGAAACTGCGCTAAGGGGTCGCCAGGGCGAGCTCACTGGGAGAGTCGCGACCGATCGGCGGCCGCTCAGCTGAGCTGCTGCCCGGCCGGCTCGTGCCGTTGTGGGGGGCCGGCCGGTAACCGCCCGAAGTCACCGGTCAGGCCGTGTCGGCCCGTTTCATTACGGCTCTGCCTGGACCAGTTTTTCTGGGGCCGGTCGGCTACTTCAGAAGACCGGCGCCGTGTGCGTGCGGCGAGGTCGGCTCGAAGGCCAACCCGCCGCTGCAGCCGCGTGAGCCGGTTGCGCCGCGTCGCGTTGACGGCGGCCGAGGCCGGCCGGCAGCCGCCCCGCTACCGGTCTATTGTTTCCGTCGACGCTGGCCGATGGTCGATCGCAGTCACTCTCCTCGCGGGAGTGCCCGCCGTATCCGCCGCTTCCTCCGACCTCGGCTGGCGGCCAGGGCGTGCGTGCGCTAATTGCACGGGATGCGGCGATGGGGCTGAAAATCCGGAGGAAGCGGCGGCCAGCTGGCCGAGCAGCTGGACACGCGCCGGCCGCCTTCCAGGCCGGTCT